TACACAAGTGTTGATGAGATCACGTCATGGAACAATCAGAAACACCAGCTGAGTCGAACACTCGACGACCTAGCTCATTTCAACCAAATGCTTCGTTTCATTAGTAAAATTGCTGTCTGTTGACTGACGTAGCTCTTATGAGAAATTTCGTAGCAACTTACATATTATTTAGTCAAAAAAAAAACTTCTAGCATATTATTTATACAATTCGGAGTAAAAATATAATTAAAGCCGGAGAAGAGTTAACCGTTCAACACGCGAAGTATAGTGTAATTTATTTTAGTTATAAGTGGAATGATTCGTAGGATGATCGTTTAATTTATTTGAAGATAATTAGTAGACTTTAGTTATATATTACCAATATCTTAGAACTCTTATATGTACGAGATGTTAGATAATAAGTAGACTTTAGTTATATACCTCTAGATTCAGCATTGCATATAGAAGGTTCGCCGAAACTTGCGACTCACCAACAAAATTTTACAAGGGATCTCTCATTTCTCACTAGTTCATCACGAAATAAACACATGAGTTTAAGTTCAAATAACCAAACGGCACACGTACACTGATGAGACGAGTTTAAGTTCCGACTTTAGAGCCGAGACTACCGTCTCCTGCGAGGGTTAATAAACTTAACAACATAACATACTCGTCAAGCCGTACGCATGAAATATTTTAATAAATTATTTCATATAATAAAAATACATTAATAATAGGTTCCCTTAATCAATAAAAGATGGGCGAATATACTTCTCCCTTTGGACTTTGCATACATGTCTTTTTTCAGGTTTTATTAGAATACGTGATTTTTTATTTATTTTGCCAATAATTTTTGAAGAATTCGTGCATTGGCCAACCCGAAGCTTATGCTATCTTACGCCTCGGGCTTACGTTAACGGTGAGGGGACAAGCCATCTCGCACGACAGCCTCAAAACCTCGGACAGATCCGGAGGGTTAGCGTTGACACTAGGAAGCCACTTAAACTCATGCAAGAGCGTCGCAACCCAAAACGAAACCGTTGCAAGCCCCAAATTCTTTCCCGGACAAACTCTCTTACCCGACCCGAACGGTGCCAACCTCAGATCCGACCCGAGAACAGAGAACTCAGCTTCACCCTCTTTAGCCACAAACCTCTCGGGCTTAAACTCCAAAGGATTCTCCCACACGTGCGGGTCACGTGCTATAGCCCACATGTTGACCATCGCGGTGGTACCAGCCGGGACGTGATATCCGTCTACGTTGGTGTCTGTTATCGAAAGACGAGCCCAAGAGAGAAGTGGGCCTGGTGGATGCATCCTCAACACTTCTTTGATCATAGCCGTTAGATACGTGAGAGATGGGAGGTCAGACTCATCAACGGCTCTGGATCTGCCTACGACTCGGTCAAGCTCGTCGTGGACCGTTGACTGAACTTTAGGATGCATCACAATCCTCGCTAGCACCCACTCGATCAAAACAGCCACTGTGTCCGTCCCCCTAAATATCATTTCCTAATGGGACCACAAATTGAAATGTTGATATTCTATAAGTATTTTATAAGAATTATAAAAAAAATGTTTACTTACCCAAAGAACAGCGACCATATCGGATTCTGATAATTTTTCGGAACCATTAAGTGAATGTAACACGTCCAGAAAATTGCACGTAGTATCACGGTGTTCATGAATGATTCGGGTCAATAACTGATTTACTTTCGGTACAAGCTGAGAACATCTGAACCGGACTTGTTGGAAATCTAGACCGGCTAACCAAGGAAGATGGTCGGTCCAGTTCAGTGTACCGAGAAGATCGTACCCTTCTTCAACCAAACCCTTCAAGCATTCCGCCTCAACGTTGTTATTAGACTCCAGTTCATATTGTTTCCCGAATACTAAACCCATCATGTTAGACAATGAGGCCGTTTTGAGCAATTCACGTACTCCAAACGCGGTTTCAGCGTTACGTGCAAATACGTTCACCATCTGAGTCGCGATCACTCGTCTCTGCTCCTCCGAGCGTTTGATTTGCTTTGGGTTAAAAAGATGGTTCGAACCTAACCGACGTAGCGTACGCCAGTAAGCACCATTTGGAGCAAATCCCATGGCTCTGTTAAACATCAAACCATATGCGGTTTCGTCAACAGGTCGGTCTGCAAACACCGAACTGTTCAATATTTCCTTTGCCACGTCAGGATGACACGTTACCACCACCTTAGTATCACCGAGGCTAAACGCCATGAGCCGCTTGGCGTTTCTGGTCGCAGCCACTGCCGCTATGCGCTGATGAGCAACGCGGCTTGACCTTAGGCTCATGCTTCCCACGAGTGGAAACCCTCTCGGACCGGGAATGAGATTCTTATAGCCGGGAGTAAATCGGCGAGTGAAAAAGTATCTTCCCCAAGCCGGTCCACCAGGTGTAGACCAAAATAGGATGGTTAATGTAAACCAAGTGATGGCTATGGCGATGAGAAGAGAAACAAAATGTTCTTGCATGAAAATATTGCATTTTGATGCAATAGCAAAGACCCACAGATTTTCTATTTCGGTTCCCATACTCAGAGAAAACATTTTGAATAAATGGTTAACTTTTCTTTGCTTGTGATATTAGGTTTTCAGGTTGTGATTTAAGTTTGGGTCTTTGTGAAGCTTTAAATAGACGTACGCACGAATGAAGCTATTAGCCAATTAATGCCAGATCATAGATTGGTTTAAAATTTAATTATTTATCATAAGAAAGGTTTTTTCATGTACATTTAAATATTTGTTAGTTCAAAGTTATTTGTAAATGCTCAAACGGGTATATGCTAATAAGCCAATATGCACTTGTAGTCACCTATATGCATATGTCATGTTATGTTTGTGACACTCAGATGACTATATCTTCGATAGATTTAAAATCTAAATACATATTGTCATATTGAAGACTATACTACACCTGTCCCATTGGTTTCATTTGTAAATAGTTGTCTAGTATTCTTTTTAATAATTGTGACTAGTTTAAAAATTGATTAATACTCTACTTATCATACTTTTCTAATGGAATGCATACGCAGACAATCTGCATATATAATACTATGTTTTAGACACATATATATGGTAATATGTAATAAAAGTGAGTATATATGCATCTTAATAAAGTAAATTGCATATCTAAACGTAGTGCTCAACTAACAAAATGACACTATATGCTTTGATAACAATCTCTTATATATTAAAAGAGAAACATTATAATAAATGCATTCACACTATAATTGACACGTGTCGTTCCCACAATCATTTGGCAATAAATGCATTCACAAACTAATTTTTTAAATTCTTTATTTAATGTGTTTATACACTATTTTTAATTAATTCATTTTTCCTATATTTTTAGCTTTTGTATTAATAAATTAAAACTTTATACGTAAAAACGAAGAATATCTTTATTGTAAGGAAATACAAAATCATTAAGATTCGCATCAACTAAAATGTTGCGATGAAAATATTTGTAGAAATTAAAATTTTCGTACCTTGCCGAAGTTGGTCTTCGGTACACAATAACAACAAATAAGGTGACTGATTATGAATTAAAGAAGCTGAGATGAAAAACACCACACGTAAAGTCGGATCTTTAGTTTAGTCAAATCTTAAAATTTTTATAAAATTTTCATATCAGACTAAGAATTAAAAACAAAATCAAATTGGTAGAAAAAATCAGAAATCAGAAAAGCTTTAAAAAGAAATAAAAATCACAAAATCGATTAAAACAGAATTCAGGTACCAAGTGAAGATGTCATTTTATAATATATATTATTTTTATTATTTATGGGTATAATTTGATTTTCTTCATATGAAAAAATGTTATTAATTTTTAGGTTTGTTTTATTTTTACTTAATTTTATTTAAGAATTTACTATCATGTGTTATTTTGAACAAAAATGTTTTAAATCTTAATTAACGGTATATTCATATATTTATCATCACGTTTATATACTTTTACATATACATACATGTACATATTCACATGAGCGACTATATAACTAAATATTCACCACAAGTGAGAATTTTAATTCTTATTGAAGTTGAATTTTTTTTTTTTAATGTTTTCTTTCCCTATCGCTCAAATTGTAGTGAAATGTTTTTCCTTAATAATTTTATTTTCTTTTTTCAAATATTATTTAGATTTTATTTTATTTTACTTGTATTAAGAAATTATAATAAGAAACTATTAGTTCGACATCATAAATGTCTAAAATTTATATAAAACGAAACCAAACAAATAACAATAGTTTTTGGTTATCATCGAAAAAATCAAAAACATCAAACATTTAAATCAAACAAACCAAAATAAATATAGATTTAGAATGATAATTATATTTTCAGATATTAAAAAAACAACGTAAAACTGAACCAATATTCATGCTAAACAGACACAATATTATTTTATCTTAAAAATAACAAAAGTAATAATCTCATTCCGCGCAAGGCGCGGATTATTACCTAGTATAAATAATATTTTCTTAAAACAGTATAAATAATATGTATACGTAATTACCAAAATTAATTTCAAAAGATGCCATTTCCGACGATTCTCCTTAAGTACCAGTGGGGAATGTACGACTTTTACGAGTTTTTCTCGAACAAATTGCTCTTCAATTGACTTTATATTCCCAAGTCAACTACCTTTCCTTTAAGTTATCACTTTTATGTACAGAAAGTTGTAATTGTTGACCGTAAAAGAAAGTTATAATTATAACACAGGTTTCTAACAGCAGTAAAAAAAATCTGAAAAAATTGTTAAATTTGTCAAAATTTTAATACACTATTAACTATCTTAATTCAGCTAATACTTATTATACATACAATCATAACTGTAAATACTAATTTACATTTTTATCGTGAGAATCTTTTTCTTGCTTATAAATATTAAATTAATTAATAACTTTACACATAACACAGAATTATCAGCATAGAAATAAGTAAATAAGTGGTCACAAAGCACTTTGGTGACGGATTAATCATATGCGCGTTTATATAATGTTTATATTATTGTTCTGGTATATGATATAGGCCTTTTTTAGGTCATGGGCGAGAAAGCGAGTTCGTGATTGGAGCACTTCAGACTATTCGGTTGCATGCAGAAAAAAAGAGAATCATATCTTATGTCGGATTTGGATTTATATTCGAGATTCTAAGTGACACTCACAGTTGATGTCATGGAAAATATTATGAAAATATCTGCTTAGTGATTTTTTTTTTTTTTTGCTTAGTGATCTTAATTATTGTAAATTCTAATAATTTCACTTAATTATAAAGCAAAACTCTCCATGAACTTATATGAACGCATGATCATGTTTAACATATAATCATACAATCAACTCCAGTAACACACGTTTTAAAAGAAGATAAACTCGTAATACAAAACTTTCTAACAACTACAAAGTACCATATTTATGCATTACAAGGAAATTGTACGAGTCTTTTACGACGAAGCCTAACTATGCATTACCACAAATTTTCTATTGCAACTTACTTTTTACAATGAAACATGTTTCCTTGTAACTCTGATATTATGACCAATTAACAAAGAAAATCATCCTTGTAATTAATATGTTTTTTTGTAGTGATCTATTCTTTTCTCTACATGTAATACCAGTTTCTAATAAGTACAACTTAACAGCTACAGAAAACTCATTAACAAAGAACAGCAGTTGACAATTGATAATTATGTTATAAAGTGTAAAAGTCAAATACTCTCTCTGACTCAGTTCCCAATGTCAAACGCTTGGCTCCACCAAGGTGGTGCTTCCGCCCTGAAACCGTCGCCTCTCACCGCTGGTGAAGTTCCTCCGCCTCCCCTTATCCCCCCGGACCCCCCGCCTGACCCTCTCACCCATGACCATTCACCCCCATCTTCCCCTTTCTCCCCGCAGAACTATCCTCCTCTTGGTACCTCTGTTCCTAAACAGTCAACTTACCGTAAGAGATCTGTCACTCCTGTCTCTAAAACTGCTGAGATTGACCATCAGCTTCCTACAACTGTTTCTTCTACTACTGTTCCAATCGGTACAATCCAATGTGCAGTGAGTAAAGAAAACCCCCCTATTCTTGTCCCTGGAAATACTGTTGAGAAACCTTATCTCATCCTTCAACCGACAAAAAACTCTCCTCTTAGAACTAATTTGGCTTCGGCCTCAATTTCTCCTTCACCTAATCCGACCCATAACCCTTCCCCTCCCTTACTGCAGTCAAAAATCCTTCCACCCCCTCAAATCAAATCCCCAACTGTTCATGAAAACCCTAATTCAAATGTTCATGTCCCCCATGAATCCATCACCCAAAACACTGCTCCTAAACCTGTGAATACTCCTCCCCTTAACCAATCCATTCCAAACCCCACCAATAATCACCATACTCCTAATCTGGTTGAGAAACTGAGACTGTCGGAAGATAAGTCACTTTCTCGACTAGCTCCACTTTCGAAATCTCCTACTGGTCGCCCTAGAGTCCTTATCCCTGATGAGGTTTTCAAAAAGGGAGAAGAGCTCCATAAAGACTTCATAGTGTGTTACTTCAACGGAAAGCCTCCTCCCTTTAGCCAAATCCAGAGTGTTCTTGGTCACCTATGGGGGAAAGGAAGAAGGTTAGAAATCCATAATAATCCTCTATCACGTTCTACTTTGGTCAGAATACCCAATGCTTACCTTAGGCAAAAAATTCTGGACAAATACATCTGGTATGTGGGTGACTCTATGTTTCACACTGCTCTATGGACATCTGAACACTCTGCTACTATCCCTCCTCTGAAATCTATCCAGCTTTGGGCTCATCTTCATGGTGTCCCATTGGATCTTCGACATCAGCAAGGACTCAGCTTAGTCGCCGGTCTGGTTGGAGAACCTAAGGAGACTGATGAGTTTACCAAAAACCTCGTCAGTCTTACGGTATCACATGTAAAAGTGGAGCTTAATTTATCAGAACCTGCTCCTACGGTTGTTGAGTTTGAAAGACAAAGTGGTGAGGTAGTGGAGGTGTTTGTTACTTACCCTTGGCTACCACCTACGTGCTCTCACTGCCATAAACTTGGTCATGTCTGCCTCTCCTGGACTCCACCTGAAAATCATGAAACGCAAGCTCAAAAAACTCCGGCTAAACCAAAAAACAAAAACAAATCGAAGGAGATTCAAAAAGATGTTTCTACTCAGAGTCAAACTCCCATTGCTTCTAAGGATTCAGTGATGTCTGACCCTGATCCTCCACCCCTTCCCCTAAATCCTCTTCCCCTCTTAACCCATAAAAAACCTGTTTCTCATAAAAAATCCTTCTCCAGGTCTTCTGTCCTAACCTTAACTGCTCCTTCCTCTCCAAAACTCACCTTAAGCCCTTCTGAATTTATGGAAAAAAAGAAACTAAAACGTTCAAGATCTAACCCCTCTTTTGACTCTCCTCCTCACCTTAATACTAGTACTACCGTTCTGCCTAAAGGAGTACTAGATTCTCCTGCTCCTATTCCATCCTCACAAATTTCTCTTCCACTAAAAAACTCTTTTTCTACTTTTGCTTCTCAAGGGCTTCTCCTCTCTACAGGGGACCCCTCCAACCTTCTTTAAATGAGTATCAAACTATTTTTTTGGAATGTCCGTGGACTTAATGAGCCGGACAAGCATAAACCTTTTTGTGACTGGCTTTCTCTTAACAAACCTATTTTTGGTGCACTTTTGGAAACACATATTAAGGAGGTCAATTTGGATCCCTTAATGAACAAACTTTGTAATGGCTGGAAATACACTACTAATCATTCCTCCGATGAGGATGGAAGGATCATTTTGATTTGGAAGGATCCTGCTTCTATTCGTGTCATGGGCCAGAGTAGACAAACTCTTACGTGTGAAGTCTTGCTGCCTACATGTCCTCCCTTCTATTACACTGCCATCTATGCTTCCAACGAAGCCACAGAGAGGACTGATCTATGGGTGGAACTTCTCAACATACAATCACACTTAAATCTAGACTCTCAACCATGGATGCTGGGGGGGGATTTTAATCAAATAAGAAGCCACCATGAGCATTCTACCTTGAGTGTCAGTAGCAATGATGCAGCCATGAATCAATTCAGTGACTGTCTTTTGCAGCTGGGACTGTTTGATCTGCGTTACCAAGGCCCTATATTTACTTGGTCAAACTCCCAACCTACTACTCCTATTGCAAAGAAGCTTGACAGACTTCTTGTTAACAACCTCACCATTGCTGCTGCCCCCCATGTCACTGCTACGTTTCTACCGCCCCTAATATCTGACCATTGTCCCTGTCTTATAGACCTAAACCAAACCCTCCCAAAAGCTGGCACAAAACCTTTCCGATTTCTAAACTATCTAACCAAACATCCGAACTTCATTTCAGTGGTAACAGAGGCATGGTTTCAGGCCGGAAGCACTTGTGTGAATCTAACAAACTTGTGTTGGAAACTTAAGTGTTTGAAGAGAGCTTTGAGAGTACTAAACAGGGATAATTTCTCAAAAATTCAAGAGAGAGTATTAGAAGCTAACCGTTTGTTACAACTTGTGCAGGTGGAAGCCCTTACTGACCCGACTCCTCATAACTTCCAACAAGAGCGAGAACTACACCAAAAATGGATGTTCCTCAGGGATATTGAAGAATGTTTCTTTAGGCAAAAATCTAGGATAAATTGGTTAAAAGAAGGGGATCTTAATACCTCCTACTTTTACCGAATTTGTCAAACTAGAGCGAGCTTCAATGCAATTCGTGCTTTCCTCACCTCTACTGGTATACTACTAACGGACCCTGTCCAGATGAGTAACCATGCAATCATGCACTTTAAGTCTATTTTGGGACCTTACCATCGAAGTTACACAATAGTCTCTTCTCCTGCTTGGTTTCAATATCTGATCTCTTTTCGGGTTTCCTCCCAAGAGAGTCTTGCCATGGTCCTTCCTCCTTCTCCAGAGGAGATAAGAAATTTGTTCTTCAAACTCAACCCTAATAAGGCATCAGGTCCGGATGGCCTAACCTCTGGTTTCTTCAGAAGCTCGTGGGAAATTATTGGTGAGGAAGTTACTTCAGCGATCTCTCAGTTCTTCAGTTCTGCATTTCTCCCATCAGCGGCTAATGCTACAATTTTGTCGCTGGTTCCCAAGAAACAAGGTGCTTCTTGTATTACGGACTATAGACCCATCTCCTGCCTCAATACGGTCTACAAAGTCATTTCTCGTCTCTTGGTAAAGCGACTAAAGCCTATCCTCCACAATCTCATCGTTCCTAATCAAACTGCATTTGTTAAAGGAAGGCTAATATTAGAAAACACGGTCTTGGCAAGCGAGTTGGTGAATGGGTATCACAAAACCAATAATAGCAAACGAATCACAATTAAGGTGGATATAGCTAAGGCCTTTGATACCTTATCTTGGGAGTTTCTATTTGGTTGCTTGGAAAGTCTACAGCTCCCTCCTCTGTTTATTCATTGGCTTCGGGCTTGTGTCTGCACGCCTGCCTACATGGTAGGATACAATGGAACGGTCAATGGTTATTTTAAAGGAACAAGAGGTTTGAGGCAAGGAGATCCTCTCTCACCTTACCTATTTGTGATAGCAATGAACTGTCTCTCTATGCTCCTCACTGATGCTTCTGCGAATGGACGAATTGGATTCCATCCGAGGACTGAAACAACTAGGCTAACCCACCTTAGATTTGCGGATGATCTACTTATTTTCATTGATGGTTCCCTTGCATCTGTTCAGTATGTCTTGCAGGTTTTGAGAGACTTCGAGCTAAGGTCAGGATTAGCTGTCAGTGTTCAAAAGTTGAGTTTTTTCAGCTCTGGTCTTTCAAAAAACGAGATTGATGAGATCCAGGCCTCTACTGGAATGCCCCATGGAACTCTCCCTGTCAGATATCTAGGGGTCCCACTCTGCACAAAGAAACTCTCCATTGCGATCTGTGAATGCCTTATCCAGCAGGTGAAACAAAAATTCAACTCCTGGACAGTAAAAACTCTTTCCTTTGCAGGCAGATTACTTCTCATAAAAACGGTTATAGCGGGAATTACGAATTTCTGGTGCTCCTCCTTTGTGCTACCTAAGGCGTGTGTAAACAGGATTAATTCCATGTGTGGAATGTTCTTATGGAAAGGAAACATCGAAACTCCCCCTGCAGCAAGAGTAGCATGGTCAACAGTAATCAAGAAGAAGGAAGAAGGAGGCTTGGGAGTGACTGACTTAGCAACCTGGAACAAAGCTACTTGTCTAAAACTCATATGGTTACTCTTTTTCAAGGCGGGCTCTGTCTGGGTGGCTTGGTATAGGGAAGAGATTCTACAAGGGAACATAAGCAACTACTGGACAGCTAAACCTAACCGTTCTAATTCATGGCTGGCGAATAAACTTCTCAAACTAAGACCGCTTATATTTCCTTGGATCAAAATGAGGATTGGTAATGGTCTTACCTGCAGATTTTGGTATGACAATTGGACGCCTTTTGGTAGTTTGGAAGAATACTATGCGGCTAATGGCACATCAAGACTCGGAATTCCAAAAGAAGCTGTTCTTGCGGATCTCTCCATGGATGGAAACTGGCGTCTTCCTCCTGCAAGATCAGAAAACCAGCTTAGAGTGATCTCATACATTACGACTATTGAGCTACAAGGAGAAGATGATTACTATGAATGGGAACTGAATGGAAGGACAAGCTCCGTATACTCCACGGGTGACGTCTACCAGCAACTGCGAGATGCGTCCCCTCAAGTTCAATGGTACTCTGCAATATGGTTCTCAGGTAGTATCCCTCGCCACTCTTTTCTCGCTTGGTTATTTGTTCTGGATCGTTGCCCAACTAGGGACCGAATTGCTAACTGGGGCATACCAATACCACTTAACTGTCTCCTATGCTCCACTGGGTTAGAATCGCGGAACCATCTTCTATTTGACTGCAACTTCTCCTGTTCTGTTTGGACAATTATTGCATTACGATGTGGAGTTCAGCCATCTAGGAATTGGGACCATTCTCTAAACCTCATGATGAACCTGCGTACACCAAAGCTTCATCGTCGATTGATCCTTCTATCTTGGCAGGCTACAATCTACGCTCTCTGGACAGAAAGGAATGCACGTCTCCATCGTAGCATCTTTCGTTCATCTGAAGCGATCGTAAAATCAATTGATCGCCAGATAACTAACAAGATCTCTGCTCTCAGACCAATCAACCCAAACGCCTCTTCTGTTATGATGCAACTCTGGTTGGAAACTGCTTGATCAAAATTACACTCCGACGCATCGTATCTCTCTACGCCTTGTTCTCATCGAAACAAGGAAGAAACATATTCCTCCTACTGGGCTTTCAGCTCATTGCATCACTTACCCAATCTCATTACCTTCCCTCTTTTGGGCTTAACTACTGGGCTTCCAGTACAACTATAGCTTAGGCTTGTAAAACATTTTTATTCTCATGCAAATTTAATATGAAAGCCAGTTTACAAAAAAAAAAAAAAAAGAACAGCAGTTGACAAAGAAAAAACGAAGAACTGCTAGAGTAGATTATATTCCTCAAAGTTATTTATGTGTGATATATTTATAATGAAAAGGTTCGCATGTAATTTTTTAAAATCGTGAGTACAGTGGCTTTAGGAGTTTAACTGACGTTTAGTTGCATATATATACAGAGTACATCTAATAATTTCAAATGTTTGATTAAGGAGGTATAAATATATATTGTGAATGGTGGAGAAAAAAACATATTAAATATGACATGAATAATTTTTAGACGGTATCGAATAAGTACCACCAATTCACAGAAGATATGAAAAGCCCATAAACAAAGACATGGGTAAAAAATGATATTAAAAAAAGTCTCACTATCAGGCCCATACTCGAGCCCATCACTCAAAACTCAAATTCAACACGAACATGAAGCTTGTTCATTCGTTTTACTAATCTCAAGTTCCGAACCAGAGATCACATCAATTCTCGAACCGTCAAGTTTAGCGGTAGACGACACACTCTCACACTCCAGAGCTTTTCTCGCCACAACAACGCGGCTGAAAATCTCCTCTAGCAGACGGAAAAAAGCTTCGTCGACGTTCCCGCCACTTAGAGCCGAGACTTCCGAGAAGAAAAGCCGTTGAGTCTCAGCGAACTCAACGGCGTCTTCTGTCGGGACGGCGCGTTTATCGTCGGCAAGGTCGGCTTTATTTCCGACGAGCATAATCACGGCGGAGTCGTCGGCGTGCGCACGTAAGTCCTCAACCCAACGTGCCACGTGGTCGAAAGAGTCGCGTTTGGTTATGTCGTAAACCACCATAGCACCTAACGCGCCTCTGTAATACGCACTCGTCACCGCTCTGTATCTAATCGCCGTAAAAACAAATAGTTAAACAATTTAATTTTTTAGCTAGATCGGGAATCAAATCATATCATATCTATCGTGATCCAAGAAAATGAAGTATACTTTAATATATAGTATAAACATTTTTTTATTAAAATCATAAACTGAGATTCAGCTTTATAAAATATAAAGAACTATGAGTGTGTAGTGTATATTACCTTTCTTGACCGGCGGTATCCCAGATCTGAGCTTTAACGAGTTTGCCTTGAAGAGTGATCGTGCGTGTCTGAAACTCGACGCCTATGGTGGACTTTGAGTCATAACAGAACTTGCCCTGTGTGAAACGTGAAAGGAGCTGCGTTTTTCCGACAGCAGAGTCACCAATCACAACCACCTTGAACACGTAGTCGATCTTTTCCGGCAATGTGGGATTACTTACGTGCTTATTCTTCGGTGTCTCTCCGCTCATCTCTTCGTTCATTATTGAGGGAATTGGGTCGATGAAGAGGAAAAAAACTCAGTAAAGTTTTGACTCTTTCTGGTTGAGTCAGTGAAACAGGAGAAAGAGGGAAGAAAACAGTTTGAGGTAGTTTTTGTTTTGTGAAGACAGCAACGATGTTCTGTTCATTTCTTTTAATGAACTCTTTAATACTCTTACAAACTTTAAATGAATATACAAATGTTTATAAATGTAGCTGTGAGCATGAACCGACATAATGAAGAAAAGAAAACTTTATTTACTTTGCTAAAAAAATTGACTGATTCAACATGAAACCCACATTTTGTCTGGAGACCACCTAATAAGAAAGCTCTTATTATGATCCCCCATCAAATGTTGGTTGTGGTCTACTCCTCCCTCATGTATGAATTTATTGCTTTCTTTTCTTTTATTTCTTGTTGTTTGAAATTTAATATATTCGATTGTATAAGCCAAAAAAAATCGGCTGGTTGTTGTTTTCAAACAAGTCATAATCTTAAACTAGATTTTGACCCGCGTTTGAGAAGCGCGGACTTTGTTTCGGTTGTAACAAAATGTATAAAATGATCCGATTTCTATTATATGATAGTTTTATATGCGAAATTTGATGTATATTTAACGTTTTAGTAGGGTCTTTTCATTTAGTTTGCATAACCGAGTCAGTTTGTGGTTGAACAGGGAATAAAAAAATTAAGTGTTGTGAGAGTTTGAAGAATTAAAACACATATTAGACTGAAACCAAAATTGGATGGGTCCATGACCTATAATAAACTTGAAAAATCAATACTATTAGAAATGTCCAAAATTGTATTACAAATTTGTAGTTAAATCCAATAAATATGTTAATCGAATTATATAGTTTATTTATGTTTCAACAATTTTGTTTTGACCCGCGCTTGAGAAATTTATAATAGGTAGGGAGACTAACTTTATACTATTAACCATAAAATTTTTTTTTATGGTTTCCACGAGACTGAACTCCGACTTCTTCTTTTGTTTCCCACCACTACACCCTATGGTTTCCAGATCACCTAAGTTTTGAACTTGTCCAATAACATCTAGATAAAAATATACTTGTGTTAGATAGATACACAACAATGGAGATAAGTTATAAAAATGGGAGAAAACTGACCAATAAGAAATTATTTACAATTATGATTCAAAATAATATACTTTTAAAAATAGAAGAATTTTTCCATAAATATAGGGAAGAATATTATCATTTAGGTTTTGACCCGCGCTTAGAAAACATTATCGTTTAGGTTACACTTTTACAAAATGAAGATATTTAAATCATAAATCTATACAAAACGATAAACTTACATTTGCATCACAAAGGATTAGTTCCATGGTCTTCCCTATGTCTTTCATGAAATGTCTCCATGTATGAAAGATTTTGACTTGGATGCGACATGCAGTATTCCTCGGTTTTATATCACGACAACTGCAAATTATTTGCCATTTTTGTTTTAAGTTTTTCAATGAATGATGAATATAGTGGTTAAAAGAGGCTATATTTATAATAGGTAGGGACGATATACATTTAGGTTACACAAATGTAGGAAATAATATTTACACGATTTTTAAAAATATCTCTTTCGAGGAATAAGGAATATTTCTTGAAGATATTTTGAATTAGTTAAGAAGTTTAAAGTTTAACAATTAATGGTAATACAACTACGGTAAGTTACCGAAATTTATGGAAACCAAACAAAGAATAACTAACCATGATATTGATTGTGGTTAATTTATAAACTTGTAGATTAAACAATTCATTTATTTTAGTACGAAGATAATTATAGAAAATAGTTTTTGCAATATTTTCTTAACAAAACGTATCTCATCCATTAAATGTCACCATGAGAATGATGATATAACGACATATGAAGAAAAGTTAATACGAAAATATTTGAAATAATCTTGCATATAACAAATTTAGTTGTTCTTCAATAACAATCTTAATGTATTATTTAAATATTTTAAAAATCAGATATCAAAGATATTACCAAGATCTTTTCTAATATTGCATTTTGACAATATCTTTTAATATCTTTTTCAGTAAAATATAAATATTTATTTTAAATAATAGAATGTACTTTTAAATATTATTAAAATTAATTTTAATTCATTTGGATTTATTAAATAAGAAATACCATTACTATAATATTTATAAATACATTATTCATATTCATAATTAAATTACTACAATAAATAATATACATATATATATATAATAACTTAATTAAAATTATTTTATTAACTATAAATTAAAAGAATTACATATTCATGACAACATATATTCATAGAGTTTACAACATACTTCAATTTAATAATGCAAAATATTAAAATATATATTAAAAGAATAAACATTTATATTTAATATAATATCTAAATTACTATATTAAAATATAATTTAGTATATTTTTATTTGATAAAAACAATATTATTTTTGTTGATTTTATTATACAGTATATTGAATTATATATTACGATTTAAAATTACAATTTATTTTATAAATATGTAAACATTTATAAGTATGAGAGCATCTGAACACCATATAATTAATTTATATTATAATAAATATTTATGTAGTCAATCTATAGATTAAAACCGTAATATAAAGTTTATAAGACAATATAAATGTATGAAATATAATATGGAATATGGTTACAGTAATTAATGGGAAGAGAGAGAATAAATCGGGTATATTTAATATATGATATGATTTGTAAGAACTGATATATATATAGATGTAAGATCGAAAAAATAAATTACCAAAATGCCATTAATGAGGGTGCACACAACTTCCATCAGTCGATTTTTCAAGGTGTCTTCACTTTTAATAGTATAGATGATTTTATAATAACCAAAACAAAACCAGTGGATTTCTTAAACAGTTTGATTTAAATATAAACTCAATATGTGCATATGGACTAAGAGGTTGTGTATGTATTATTATAATATACACGTTTTGATAGTGTCATCGTTCAACTAATATTCAAAACATAATAGCTTTTTAATTTACAATCAGATTTTGGCCTTGATAATTATTATTGATCATCATATTGTTAATGGGCTTGCCGAAATCCACTGATTATAATGAAAGTTTCAGCAGATTTAATGTTAGGATTGAGTGGCATAGGTTGGTAATTATTATGGAAAAATCAGGGCTAAATATAAATTGTACTTCAGTTTTAATATTTTAGATGAATAAATATCTGTTTTATTTTCGATATAAATATCAACAAAATTGAAGATAAAATAGTATGTAAATTAGACAGACACCTTGATTGAGCACTTACTAAATTAGTTTTTTTTTTCTGTTTAAAAATACATAAAGTAGATGATAAAATTGGAGAGCCTGGAAGGCCCAATAAAGAGGACAAGATGTGAAAAATGGGGTAAAATCAATTAGAAACAAATAAGGGCCTCTTACAAAACAAAGTGGGTTTCAAAACTGGTTCTGGATTGTGATAAAAAAAAGAAAGTTTTCGTAGATAGAAAACGCAGCCGTTTAGTAGTTAATGAGCTCCGGAAAAGATCCCAAATATATTTGTTTAATGAATTAAATGTAGATGCGAAAAGAGAAAGCAATCGTCGTCTCTCACGGGCACACCAGATTAAACCAAACCAGAAATCTGGAGAATCCTCCTTCCTCTTCTTTCTTCCCCCAAAACAGATTATTTTTGTGAATCTGAAATTCAGGCGAAAAAGTAGAAGATCTCATACCGTAAACAGCGAGGGAGAATCAATCAATCAATCGTAGAATAGTAAGAATTAGAAAAAGGATCGGATCGGATCGGGGGATAGATGGCGAATCTGTATGTGAAAGCGGCACCACCGCCGGATATGAACAGGAACACGGAGTGGTTCATGTATCCGGGAGTGTGGACCACTTATATACTAATCCTCTTCTTCGGATGGCTCGTTGTTCTCTCCGTCTCTGGTTGTTCCCCTGGCACGGCTTGGACTGTTGTTAATCTCGCCCACTTCGTTGTAACCTCTCCTTCTCTTCCTTTTAACTATATCCATTTGATTGTTTTGCTTTTTCAAAATTTTGTCTGAGATCTGGATTTGAAAGCTTGTTATGAATTTCGATTGCGAATTTATCATTTCTGGTTTTGTCATAACAAGTGTGTTTGAGCTAGAGGAGGATCAGGCTTCAAATTGGCATCTGATTTAATGAGTTGATCAGTTTGGTTTTGTTATTAATAGCAACTAAGATGGATGCATTGGTCACAAACTCTGAAAATTTATATTATGTGTATATCTATTTAGTAGTATTCTTCCCTTATGGTCTTAACTGTTAGGTATCCAGGTGACCCTCTTGTAGTTAGTTAGTAATAATATATCTTACTCTTTTGCCACTGATGATATGTTTTTGTGGTGGTCATGTCAGGTAACTTATCACTCCTTTCACTGGATGAAAGGAACTCCTTTTGCTGACGACCAAGGCGTCTACAATGGTCTCACCTGGTGGGAACAGATGGACAACGGTCAGCAACTTACCCGCAACCGCAAGTTCCTTACCGTTGTCCCTGTTGTCCTGTATGTCCCTTTAAACTTTCTTGCTTTTTCTTTACTTCCAATCTACAATTTCTGAAACTCGTAGTGAGCTGCAATTATCCTTACAACTCAGATGATTCCAGCAATCTATAAAACCGCTCATGCAATTAACGGCCTTACGTTGTATTTGAGAATTGACACTGTAGATAGGTCTTAGTGTCATTTTTATCTTAATCAAATGGATGATTGGATACATTTCTGAATATATAAAACAGGTACTTGATTGCATCACATACAACAGATTACAGGCATCCATGGCTATTCCTCAATACACTTGCTGTCATGGTTCTCGTTGTTGCCAAGTTCCCCAATATGCACAAGGTACGCATCTTCGGGATCAACGGTGATAAGTAAGGAATCTTCTCTAACAAACTCCCATTTCTTTTATGCCCAAGAGAAAAGTGAAGCCTATATGTATAAATATGTTCATATGAGTTGATTTCCAGAGTTATGTTTGTTTAATATTTGTAAGTAACTTTGTTGAATTGCTTCTTTTTCTGTTTCTTTTTTTCCCCTTTAATATATAGACACGAATGAAATTTTTCTAAAAATCTGTAAACAATCAAAAACTTTTAAAAGAACAAAAAGAAGAAGAAGATAATACCTGAGTGGTGTGCGTGACCGGCGACATTGATCTCAGTGATAAAAAGCTTTGCCGAGCAAGTCTGAGCAAGTTTGTGTCTTTCGCGTTTAAATTTTAAAAGCTTATAGATTTTTTTTTTAAATGACTATGAACAAGGAATACACTTTAACAAAGTGGTATAAGATATCTAATTAAAGTCTATAAGTATGTGAGTTTAAACCACGCAATTCTTATATATTTTAGTTTATTTCATTTGAATTATTATCATATGGGTTTTAAGTACATCCGTTCGGGTTTGGATATATACATGTCAAAATCTAGCATCGTTTGGATTATTATCATATGGGCAGTTATTAAATCCCAGAGGTTTCCAACTGAGATGAACCTTCAACTACACTTGGACATCTTAAAATCTCTACTGATTTCTGATTAAATTCAACTGAAATTACAGAAAATAATATTATTAGACACATAGATCAACCATAAGACTATTTAACCACTACGGCTTTAACTTCAAAACAACAGAAAAAAAACATAAAATTTGTGCATATTTATTTACCATGAATTGAATCTTGATGAATCGTTAACGATAGGCCTGGGCATTTTACCCGGACCCGAAGACCCAACCCGAAACCGATCCGATCTGGTTAGGAACCGGCCCGATCAAATTACCTTATCGGGTCTTGGACCCGACCCGGACCGAACCTGAAACTCGATGAATTAATAGTGTAAATTAAATAAAATACATTGAGGGGGAGTCGAATACGGGTTGTTTCTATAGAGAGTAAGGGGGTCAACCACTAGGAGACAACATATTGTTGTTGTATCTCGCATAGTTTAATATATATACACCTTTTAATAGAATAAAGACACAAATTTTGAATAAAATTTTGAATATTTTCGGATATATAAATATTTTCAGATATTTTTTTATATATTTAGGTATTTTTTAGGTCGAACCCGATCCGGAACCGAACCGAATTCGAACCGATAAATTCTAATTACCCGAATGGGTCCAACTATCTAAGACCCGACCCGACCCGGACCCGGTACGACCCGAACCGAAACCGAAAATTTGAAATTACCCTATCAGATCCTAAACTCCTAGACCCGAAAGACCCGGACCCAAAAAGACCCGACCCGAACCCAACCCGACTACCCGAATGCCCATGCCTAGTTAACGATTAAAATCTTGAGGGATTGTGGTTGTTGAATTCGGTATGAACAATGAAAAGACTTGAAAGATCTTGAAGATAGGTAAGTACCCTAGAGCGTTGTTGTAACTGTTTTTTCCTACGCTAATTAGTTATCTTACTAACTGGACCTTTTATGGATTAGTCAGGCCACATTCTAAAGTTAGTCCAATATTAGACCTAATCTTATGAAAAACTATTTATTTTCAAAACCTTCTATCGTTAGCCCAATACTATATTATTATGTTATATATATATATATATATAAGTTTTCGTGTGTCAACTAACAAGATGTTTCTGTTGGAAACAGTTTTTGACACAGTGATCTTTTCGACTTTTTCGGTGGCTTTTCCAACCAAACCAGTGGTCGTCTTGATCAGTTTGTTATATTATTGGAAAGCTTGTAACAAATACTACAATTTGATATATTGAAACGTCAAAAAAGGATTTAAATTGAATGAAAAATGAGGCTAGAAAGTAGGCATCTTAGTGCAAATAAAACACTGCAATTTTGTCTAAGTGACAAAACCTCCAGAGTCCCACATCGGGTATCTCTAGCATCAGAGAGGGGTATATATATGGAGTCACACTTACCTTGGTTCAAATGAATCAAAGGAAGAGATGGCTCCCCACGCGCGCCGCCGCCGTCCGGCTCGGCGTGGGTTTGGACTTGGGCTTGGGCCTGATAAGAAGTTATGGACCAAATTAAGCCCAACGCTTTGCCATTTTTAAATTTAAAAACAGCATGACGTGTGTAAATAAACAACACATAGTTTGTGTAAAAACAACACGAAGTCTATCTGTTTGCAAAAAAATTTGAACGAGTCAAATAAAAGAGAAGATCTTGCGGAGAAAGTTTCTGAGCTTCCACTCCCGAGATCTCAGCGAGATTTTCGCCCACGTGCAGCAGTTGTTGCGGGAAGTGGGTCTTCTCCGTCTCTTTAAATATTGCCTCTCCTCCTTCTTTATTCTTAACTTTTTCACGCAAGAAAAAACCAGCAAATCTCCCAAAGTAAGTTTAGAGAGAATTCGTAGAATTTATGTTCGTTAGGTCGTTTCACAAGTGACGCGTGATTCGTCTGCCATGGTTGTATCCTGGGACTCGATATTCGTACAGTTTTGTCTCACTACAGAGCGAATATTAAGAGTTAAGGAAAGAGATTTATCTCGCCTCCATGTCTTATATCGTCTATTTCCTTAACTCCGTCTTTTTTATATCGTTCATGTCGATCCGGTTTTCCGCCTTCTACAGTTTTATATATTTCAACGTTGCTTAAATGAAAAGAAAGCAATGAACCACTTATACGTGAAATAAAAAAAAACTGAAACAAAACTAACGAACTAAATATATTCGCATTATTCGAACTTATGTGTCCTTAAATACGAAACCCCCCTATACTTATTTTGTCATTTAAACATATGTAATGGCAAAACTGTACGTGAGCAAACAAAACAATAATTAACAAATAAACAAAATGACCAAACTCTCAAGTCCTTTGCATAACAATTAACAATAAAAACAGTTACATGTATTATATCGTTGCAAATAAATATAACACCCGCACTGGTGCGCAGGTCCAAATCTAGTTTTAGTTTATTTCGTTTGGATTATTATCATATGGGATTTTTAGTTTTAACGTTTTAATGTGTTTATGTTTTTTTCCTCTGGACTTATTGTTTAAAACCCAAAATAGTAGGAAAAATCCTAAAATGTGACGAACTTAAACCCAAAAACAATTAAAAATAGATCAAAAAACGAATAGCCCAAAAAACGAAAGACAAAACGAGTCCCACGCGACACTATCATATCCTAATATATATTTTCTGTTAGAACATATTTCTTAATATATATTTTCAAAAAATTATGTATGTGAAATAAAATAAAAACAACAAAGTTTAAATATTTTTTGTTATTTATAAAATAACTATGTAATTTCTTTTCGATTTTTAATAGTTATTATAATTTCATTTTTATCGGATTCCGGCGAATGGATTTCCACAGTCAATGACGCCGTAAAGAAAAATGCCACATTATTCATGAACAAAATCCAAACTTACAAGAAAAACATATCCAAACCTATCTATTGAAACCCAAACAACAAATATTAGCTTAAATTAAAGTTATTTTCAAATTGATAATACATAAGAATTATCTTTTTAAGTTTTATATATAAAAATATATTTATAGATAATAAGATAATTCTTAAAATATATTTCTAGATAGCAACATAATTCATAAGAATTATCTTATTTTCTAAAATATGATATATTCATATAAATTCGTTTTATTTAGAAAATAAATTATATATAATATTATAATAAACTTATGGAGAATATGACAACTAAACAAATTTACTTCTTAAATAATAGTATAGATTAGTTTCAAGTATTCAGTTGTTTAAAGAAAAAAATAATTAACTTAGCTGAACGGATAATAAAACATTTATATTATTTAGTAGTTGACATGTTTGTAATTTTATCTAGCCAAACGTGTTAACAAAATATATATTTTTAATATTATCGATGAAGAAATATAATTGCATGCAAAATAATTTATGATACATGTTATCCCCTATATATTAATTGAGAAACATTTGAAAAGATATAACCTCAAGTTTGTATTAATTAAAAAGTAACCTTGCTTAGTTGTCAATCAATTAGCATATCAATTAAACTGACGTGGCAGCTTTAGGTTCAATTGAAATTTGCTAGGGAAAAATAATTAGAGACGCATATAACGCATGTAACATAGTTTATATATTTATATATGTCGCACGCATGTAATGGAAGAAAAGGAAAATATACGATTTGATAACGATTTGCATATATTAACTATAATAACTTCATTCCTTTTAATTTATGGAAGTGTATATGTAAAATGGAAATTACTTTGTGACCAAGTACATACTTAATGGTAAAGGCAAGTGTATATGTAAAATGTAAAACTTAATATGTTAACTTGAGAATTTATGTTAAAACTGATATATGCAAATCGTAAATATCCCTTATATATTAAAGGAGAAACATTTAAAAAATTGGAACCTCAATTTTGTAATAATTAAAAAAGACCCCATGCTTAGGTGTCACTCAATTAGGTATTCAATTACATGCAATTGAAAAATAAGTATGTCCACATTCGATTTTTATATGTCGTTAGATACATTCATTGGTCAAATTATATGATATGATGATATGATATGATATTTATGATAGAAGTATTTATGATTGTTTTCCTAGATATAATTAATATTTTATTTTCTTTCCCTAAATAAAACCTATGGAATTACCATAAATGACTAATATATATATATGACACTTAATGATTGTTCCCCTATATATAATTACTATTTTATTTTCTTTCCATAAATAAAACCTACGGAATTACCATAAATGACTAATATATATATATGACACTTAATGATTCTAATAATAAATATTTGATAACAGTTTATATATCCTCCATC